TGGAGTGTACAGATAATCAAGCAGCTCTAAGCGTACTTGAGAAGCTACCACAGTGAAATGCTTGGCAGAGGCATTGCCCGTCTTTTAGGCAACAGAAACTACTGCCCCAGCCTGCTGTGTCACTAGTGCCCAAGTTAGCCCCATTTGAGCCAACATCTTGGTTGCTTTGCCACTGTAACCACAAGACCAACTCTACCATCTGGAAATTATTCCTTGGGCCTGTTCACTGCAGGACTTTGGGTCTGGAACGGACATATTCAAGGCAGTGAAAAAATAGAGCCTGAGTACCTACAGCTGGATAAGTCTTCAGCATGGAGATGCTCCTTGCTCTGTTCCCATAGTCCCCCCTCACCAGTATTAACCATGCAGGCTTGGAAAAGAGACCTGAGTGAAGTGGGATTATGTTACTTTTGCCCTGTGTACATGGACCAATTTCCTTGTATTATGACAGAAGCACCATCCTCCTAAGCCCAGCAATGACGGACAACCTTTCCTCTGCCAAATTTCTCATCTGTCAGGTGTCTCTATGAGAAATGATGGTTCTTTTTGTTCTTGCCCATAACAACAAACCAAAAATAACAAAAATCATTATTGAGCATTTTGTGGCTGTTTTGAAATACCACAAATTCTTCTGGTAATAGACCAGGATTTTCAAAGGGATGTCCATTTGGGTAACTTAGTTTCTTAGCAACTGTAGGACACCTCTTAAGGAGCAGAGATTTCAAGAAGACAAGAGATGAGCATGCTCTAAACCTCGCCTCTTGTTAGGACGTTCCAGTAGGGTAACCTGAAAATATAAACCCTCAAAATGTCTGCTTCCACTGGCAAAATCTCATCACTGGTGTTGTGTCAGGCACAGCCTTCTATATCTTATCCTCTTTGCATCCTCCTCCTACTCCCACTAAAGCAAGTCGGTGTTTTTGTCAGTGCTGCAAGAAGGTCCTGTTTCCATTAAAATCAATCTTTCAGCACGCTTAGGAAGTTCAAACAAGCACTTGGCTGTAAATCTGAGGGTTTTATCCAGACAATGATGTTAGCTGTTTCTGTATGTAGGAAATGCTGCAGATTGACCTAACACTTCTTCTGAACAGGAGTTTTACTACATCTCCTGTGTCAGTCACAAAACTGATGGGCGGAAAAAATGTTCATTGTTATTAAAAAGGAAAGTCAGTTCCCAAAATAAGATATAACATACTCCATCATTTCTCTGCCAAACATTCCCGTGTAGTTAATGACTCCACTAGGAAAAGAGATTAAAGAGAATTGTATAGATCAGATTATTGAATGATTAGCTCTTTCAACCTGCAATTCTGAAAGCATAACGTTCTGACATCCCACCTCACGTTCAGTAGCTGGAATATCAGGTACAACCAGGGCTCATGGAACCCACTGCTAGTGCAAATCAGACTTTACACTGTGATGTGAGTTTCCTTTTACTGCTGAGGGGAGTTTTTCTAGTAGTCTGAAACAGAGAGCAGTGCAGCTGAGCAGAACACAGGGCAGTTTTGTCCTTTTCACTTGCCCTGCTGAATGGACTGTCAGCAGTTCAGTCTATGTATCATGAATGCTAAAGTACTGGTTCAAGTTGGAGTCCTCAATAGATCTGCTGGTGGTACCAGGCAGCCTCAGAATTCCCACCACTGTAAGAGCAGCACAGCATAACACACCAAAAAATCCTCTCCCCAAAACACCGAAGATCCTTCTTCCCCCCACATTTAACAACATTTCTGCTCTCCATTTCTGCCTCCTCTTTCTGCATTGCTGAATATATATCAGGGACCTGCTCAGTTGCATTTTGGTGCTGCCTACTTTATCCCAGCCCTCCACGGGGAAACAGGAATCACTTTAGGTACCTCTTCAAGCAAATTTCTTTAGTGGTCTCCTGTTTCCCCCCCTCTCTCCCTCCTCCTGACTTTTTCTGATCTCTGAATAATTTGTTCACACAGTATTGCTTCCTTTGCCATTAGAAGCCATAAATCAAAACACAAGCACTGCAAGGTCTTTCTTACATTTTCAGAATCTATTACTTTTTGGTTTCTTTGGGAAAAAAAATCTATGCGACAAATATGAGGGAGTCACAATTGCTCTTTTAACACAGGCTGATGGAAACTGAGTCTAACCTAAATTTGTGCCAAAAACGAACCTTTTTTTCCCCCCTATTAATTTAGAAACAGAAGAGTTCCCCAAATTTGCTCATTTTCTGCCTACAACCACCAGGTTGCTCTTTGCAGACAGCAAACCAGTTTTGCTGGCCAGTACAACATGCCTGTCTGCTGGGCTCCTTCCCTCTGTACTCCCACCCCAGCCTCTGGCATCCCGTGGCCCCAGGACGGTGGTTCGAGGAGGGCTCGCTGGTGGCCAGTGCATCTCCTGTCAGCTTTGCTATTTGGCACCGCAGGGCAGCATGGAGTGATGCTGTGGGCAGGGGAATCACCATTACAAGCCTGGCTCAGGGGGCCTTACAGCCAGGTTCAATACGGCAGGACAAAACTCCCATAGGCAGGGAAGTGCGGAACCAGACAGCAGAGGGATTTGCTGTAGCAGCTGTTCAGCAAGAGGAATGCTTTCTGACCCCTAAGTTGTTTTTCCTGCTCTTCTGGTCCAAATCCCCTTTTGCCACTAAATCACTCTCCTGAGATCTTTATGCTGACAGGTCCAGAGTAATGGCACAGCCTATGGAGCCGAAGATTTGAAAATCCCCTATCAGCTGTACTCAAGAAATAGGAGAGCTGGTCAGCACATTTTTATCTGTTAATGGCTCTGCCATCCTGGATCATCTCTATGATCTTCCTATGAAGAAATTCTGCCTGTGATTCAAGGACAAATGCTCACACTTCATCAGTGCCCCTCACAAACATTTCCATCTGTTTTTGCATCCTATCTACCTAAAACCTGTAGTAAAAAGTTCAAAGAAGTGACATGAACACACAGGGGCTTGTTTAATTACCACCAGCCCTCAGAAACTGTTCAATAATAGTGAGTGGTCTTCAGAAGGATCAACACCTCCTATGCGAGTCCCTGAAGAATGTATTTCTGCCCCCAAAAAACATTTGAAAACCAACAGCGATTGCCTGAGTTTGCAGATGATCTAAGTAAAAACAAACATGCTCGTACAATAGCACCCAACTGTTAAGCAACTTGAAGCCACCGCAGCCAGCACATGCCAGAGGGGAAGCTCAGAGTCACGCTGAAACAGCTTTCTCATCATGACCCTCATCCTGGAACTGCAAAAATGCATCTTGCCGAGTCAGATCAGCAGCAAGTTATTTTGGCTTTGTACATCTCGTATCTTTTAGAAAAAAAGAGGAAAAATCTGCAAGTAACCAGAAATTTGTAAGTCACATTAATTTGAAGGCGGCTGTTATTCTGGGTTGCTTTACAGATGTCAGAATTAATTACTACAGAATTTCCTTTCATTAAGAAAAGAATTTTTATAGCTGGATTTGACCAGCTGCAAATAACTGAGACATCATTTAAAGCACCAAAGAAGGGCTTTCACCACCTCAGAGCACTGGATTTTTGTAAAACTGAATTGTGTTTGTATAATGTATGTATAGTGTATAATCCCAGATTCCAAGAAATGAGATCCCAAATAATTCAAAGCTAAACAAGGGCTCACACAAATGCTAAATGGTGAGGTCTTGCCGTCGTTTTTTTACAGGAGCTTCTGAGCATAAAAAGAGTGCAGAGTCAAGTTATTACCTTGCTATCTCTTCCCAGGACCGCACTGGTAGTAACCACTAAGGTCTGTAGTCCCTGTTACAGGATGTTAGCACAGTTTAGCGCTCTATTAATGATCTATATGCCATTAACAAAGATTATATACACTCACACAAACTTCAAGAGGCCAACAGTTATATTAGCAAAAGGTTTTAGCCAGTCTGCGAAAACTGGGCAATTAGTACAACTTATCTTGTTAAGACCCAGTGTCCTCAGTTAACAATTCATGACAAATCGCTGAAAACAATTAGGGTTGTTAACATACAAGGCACTAATGACATTTACAGTGTGAAGTCATGTGGTGCCCTGGCATGATGTAGAGATTTTATACGAGAAATTACATATGCTCACGCATGTTATAAACCTGCTCATTAGAGACTACCAGAAATGTCACCTTAGAATCCCAATTCCTTTGAATAAAAATGTTAAAGGAGCCGTATATTTTCTCCTGGTGATGCATACTACAGTTCCCTGGAGTTGTCCACTTAAAAACAAGAAAAAAAGAGAGCGGAGGAGGTGGAGAGAGAGAAAAAAAGGCAAAAAGACAAACTCTTGTCCCCTTGGGACATCTGCTGTCTGGACAGGTCTTCCAGGCAGGTGCTTTTAGCACCTGCCTAATTGGTGCTCTGCTCAAAGTCCTGCTGTTCTCTGGGTCCCTGTCCCCATCTGCCACGTTTGCAGGGACGGGGAGTGGGCCTTCACGGGCACTGAAGCTAAATGCAACAAAGCAATAGCAATAATGGGCACGCACCATGGCGACAGATTTAAAATTCAGGTCTCCTGTGCAATCCCTCTGCTTCCCTCATCTTTTAGAAAGTACTGGAGTTCCTTCTGTGTTGCCAATAGATGGGGTTTGATTCCTGTAGCCCTTTTTAGCCTTCTGCCAGCTTGAATTACAGTGGAAGGAGTGCTATTTCTGCTCTAGCTTTGCAAATTCTGTTCCAAAGGGAAATTTTAATAAGGTTGTTTTTATTCTAATTTTGAAAGAAAACAAATTTGGTAATGTCAAAATTTTCCACAAACCCACCTTCCAAATGTTGACCAACTATCATCCTGATGCTTTAACAGGCATTAAAAAGAGAAAATATAAAACACAGAAATACCTGGGAAAAATAAATTGCAACTCTTGATTTAAAAAAATATAAATTGATGGAGGAACCTGCATTAGATACAGAATTAAAATGCACGTGGGAAATAAACTGGAATACCTTGCTCAATTTTTGTTCATCGCAGATCATCAAGCTAAAATGAGAAAAGCAAACATTCAGTGTTTTACTAACCTGAATTATGGAATAGAAAGTGGTCTAAGACTGCTCCCATAGCAGTTTGGAAAAATACGTATTTTTAAAAAGACTCATTCTTCTGGCAAATTCATAACAGAGTATGGCAACGAGCTGTAAAGGATAGACCACACACATGCTTTCTGGACAATCAGTGACCAGACACAAGTGTTTCCTCTGACTTCATGATATAAACTTGATGGTTACCAATATCTATCTACTCTGTAAATAAAGGTCATGATTTGGTAATACTTCTCTGTTCCATGGGGTTATTTTAGCATATGTTTAAACAATATGGAAAGCAATGGACTATAAGGACATGGTCATGGCCTTTTCTCAATCAGGAAAAATCTAGAGGAGCACAGAGGAGAAGATCTTCAGAGAGTGCAAACTGAACGGCAATTCGAACACAAAACACAAAGATATTTGCTGTCAAGGCTTGAAAAAGACTTTTTCCCCATTTGCTAGGGGTGATGTGATGGCTTTGGCTGTACTAGCACATTGTGAAGCCATCACACACTTCTACACTTTTTGGATTCTGCTTTTAAATTAATCACCAAAATTACCAGAAGCCCAAAGCAGAACTCTCAAAACTGACACAAGATTAGAGGGTTCCCCCCGCAGCTTTTTCCTTTGTCGTATGAAACATATCCACTGACTTGCACAGACTCTGGCTTTGTCAGAATCTTTATTCTATAATCACACTAGGAAAGCAGATGTCCTGCAAACTCCCCCCCCCTCCGCCCCCAGCCTCTTATTTATTTATTTGTTTCCTTCAATGGCAATAGCAGGACAGAAGTTCATACAGCACTGAGGATGAACAATCCGGCTAATAACATTGCTAGAAATTCAGACATCTGGGATAAAAGCAAGCTCCAGCCTGACAGCTGTTTGAAACGTATCAGATATAGTCTCGTTCTGTTGAACAAAATCTCCCCAGTACAAATTTTAGATGACTCAGACAACTTTTTGTTCAAGTTTACTAACTTGCAACATAACACCTGCTTGTGAAAAACCTGCAAGTTAATTTTCAGAGACCTGAAGATCTCTGAAGTTTTAAATATCTTCAACTGATTCCCAGTTAGAAGAAAGCACACCTGAGCTAGGCGGGCGTCAACCCAGTGTAACAGCAGGGACAGCCTGGCTCTGGCACTCTCTTCCCACACCGGGCTCCACAGGGACCTGCTGCACACCATGTTTAACAACTGCTTTCCCAAGACCCAGAAGGCAAACCAGAGGAAGCCATCAGTCATTCACTACATACGTTATGCCTGTGTAAGCCACTGCCATCCAAAGGAGTTTTTGTACCCACAGTACCCACAGTAGGTATATCCACCTGGAAATCCTTGTCCTCAGCACTAATAATAGCCGTGCTGTGTATAATTTGCTGGCTAAGAAAAACAGTTTCATCTACAGTATGAATAATAACAAAACAAGAATTTCCTCTTTTTCCACTAAGAAGCCCCGCTTCTTGTTCCTCCTTACTTTTGGCTTTGTCCACCCAATGTTTTGAGCAATATCTGCATGCTTAGACAAGGCAAAGGTGCTGCCCATTCCCACTCACAAGTATCCAAATAAAACTTCTAGTGCTACTCTATACTTCCTCTTAATGACCATCAACAGAGAGACATCTAAAAAAAACTCCTTCCAGCTGCTCCATCAGAAAAAATGATGCTTTCAGCA